TGATTTCTCAACAGAAACTTTGCAGGCCAGAACACTTCCAAGCTGTTTTTATGAGACCAGCATTATCCTAATTCCAAGAAGGGAATGGCAAGAAATATTCAAAGTGATGAATACCAAGAACCTACAACCAAGATTACTTTACCCAGCAAAGCTATCATTCAGAAGTGAAGGCCAGATAAAGAGCTTCACAGATAAGAAAAAGCTAAAGGAGTTCATCACCACCAAACCAGTATTATATGAAATGCTGAAAGGTATCCTTTAAGAAGAGGAAGAAGAAGAAAAAGGTAAAGATACAAATTATGAACAACAAATACACATCAACAAGTGAATCTAAAAATCAAGTGAATAAATAATCTGATGAACAGTATGAACTGGTGATTGTAATAGAATCAGGGACATAGAAAAGGAATGGCCTGACTATTCTTGTGGGGTGGAAAGGGGTGTGGGGTGAGGGAAGAGATTGGACAATAATCATGCACCTATGGATGAGGACAGTGGGTATGGAGTGAGGGCAGAGGGTAGGGTGGGAACTGGGTGGAGGGGAGTTATGGTGGGAAAAAAGAGTAACTAATGTAATAATCTGAACAATAAAGATTTAAATAAATAAATAAATAAATAATGCAAAAAAAAGAATTGGAGCCAAATAAATAAAATAAGAAATGAAAGTTGAGACGTAACCACTGATATCACAGAAATCATGTAAGAAAATACTATGAACAACTATATGGCAACAAGTTGGGCAATGTGGATGAAATGGACAAATTTCTAGAAACATACAGTCTCCCAAAAATGAATCAGAAAGAATCAGAAAACCTGATAGACCCATAACAACTGATAAAATAGAAGGAGTAATAAAATAACTCCTAGCAGCCCTACCTGGTTTGGCTCAGTGGATAGAGCATTGGCCTGTGGACTGAAGGGTCCCAGGTTCAATTCCAGTTAAGGACACATGCTCAGTTTTCAGGCTCGATTCCCAGTTGGGGATGTGCAGGAGGCATCTGATCAATGATTTTCTCTCATCATTGATGCTTCTATGTCTTCCTTCCTCTCAAAAATAAAATAAAATAAAATAAAATAAAATAAAATAAAATAAAATAAAATAAAATCCTATATAAGAAAAGGGTAGTATGCAAATTGACCCTAATGTCAGAACGACCAGAACAACCACTGGACCAGTCACTATTAGGTGCACTGACCACCTCTTGGTCCCTTTCCCCGGCCAGCAGACTCTGATTGCCTGATGGTGAATGGGGAGCTGAGGGTGGGTGGTGGGGGAAGCGGGTCAAGCTGGGCCAAGGCCCCCCCCTGCCAGTTGCTCCACACACAGAGGGCAACCTGTGGTGGGGACAGGGGTGGGGTTGGCAAGCGGGTGGAATGGCTGACCTCTTGGACCCTTTCCCCAGCCGTCAGGCTCCCATCGCCCAATGGTGAATGGAGAACTGGGGGTGGGTGGCAGTGGGGGGAGGCGTCGGCTGTTGGCAGTTGAGGAAGATGGCCCTGATTGCAGGCCAAGCCTAGGGACCAGAATTTTGTGCACCAGAATTTTGTGCATCAGACCTCTAATAAAATAATAAAACTCCCAGCAAAAAAAAAAGCCCTGGTCTGGATGGCTTCACAGGGGATTTTTACAAAACATTCAAAGAAGAAATAACACCTATATTTCTCAAACTATTCCAAAAAATCCAAGAGGAAGGAACACTTTCAAGCTGTTTTTATGAGACCAGCATTATCCTAATTCCAAAACCAGATAAAGACACTAAAAAATAAGAGAATTACAGGCCAATATCCTGATGACATAGATGCTAAAATTCTCAACAAAGTGTTAGCAAATCAGATCCAGCAACTATTGAAAAGATTATACACCATGACCAAGTGGGATTGATTCCAAGGATGCAAGGCTGGTACAATATTTGCTAATCAATAAACATGATATATCACATAAACAAATTGAAAGACAAGTGTCAAATGATCATATCAATAGACGCAGAAAAAGCATTTGACAAAAATCCAACACCCATTTTTGATAAAAACTCACAGCCAACTGGGAATAAAGGAAGCATATTTCAATATGATAAAGGTTATATATAACAAACCTACAGTGAACATCATACTCAATGGGCAAAATATAAAACCATTTCCCCTAAACACAGGAATAAGACAGGGATGCCTGCTTTCACCACTCTTGTTCAACATAGTACTGGAAGAAAAAAATAAAAGGCATCCAAATTGGAAAGGAGGTAGTAAAACTTTCATTATTTGCATATGACATGATATTGAACATAGAAAACCCTAAACACTCGACCAAAAACCTACTAGACTTAATAAATGAATTCAGAAATGTAGCAGGATATAAAACTAATGCCCCAAAATCCATAGCATTTTTATACACTAATAGTAAACTCTCAGAAAGAAACAAAAAAAAAATCCCATTTACCATTACAACAAAAAAATTAAGGTATATAGGAGTAAACTAAACCAAGGAGGTAAAAGATCTGTACTCTGAAAACTAGAGAACATTGAAAAAAAGAGATAGAGGAAGATATAAATAAGTGGAAGAATATACTGTGTTCATGTATTGGTAGAATCAACATCATTTAAATGTTCATATTACCCAAGGCAATCTTCAGATTCAATACCATACCTATTAAAATGCCAATGACATATTTCACAGACTTAGAACAAACACTCTAAAAATTTATATGGAACCAAATATTACCCTGAACAGCCACAGCTAAATCTTGAGAAAGAAGAACAAAGTTGGAGAAATCACAATACCAGATATCAAGTTATACTAAAAAGCCACTGTGCTCAAAACAACCTAGTACTAGCATAAGAACAGGTATATAGATCAATAGAACAGGACAGAGAACCCAGAAATAGACCCAAGCCACTGTGCTCAATTAATATTTGACAAAGGAGGCAAGAGCATACAATGAAGTCAAGTCAGACTCTTCAATAAATGGTGTTGGGAAAATTGGATAGGTACACACCAAAAAAAAAAAAAAATGAAACTGGACCATCAACTTACACCATACACAAGAATAAACTCAATGAATAAAAGATTTAAACGTAAGATGTGAAACCATAAAAGTTCTAGGAAAAAACCATAGGCACTAAAATCCCAGACTTTTCTCATAGCAATATGTTTACCGATATGGAAACTGCAGAGAAAATAAACAAATGGGACTACACCAAAATAAAAAGCTTCTGCACAGCAAAAGAAACCATCAACAAAATAACAAGGGAGCCCACTACATGGGAGAACATATTTACCAATGATACATCCAATAATGGTTTAATCTCCAATATACATAAGGAACTCATATAACTTAATAAAAGGAAGACAAATAATCCAATTTAAAAATGGGCAAAGGACCTAAGTAGACTCTTCTCTAAAGTGGACAGACAGAAATCCAGGAGATGTATGAAAAAATGCTCAAAATCACTAATAATCTGAGAGATGCAAATCAAAACGACAATGAGTTATCACCTCACACCTGTCAGAATGGCTATCATCAAATCAATAAACGACAAGTGTTGGCAAGGTTGTGGAGAAAAGGGAACCCTAGTAAATTCCTGGTGGGAATGCAGACTGGTGCAGCCACCGTGGAAAAGAGTATGGCGTTTCCTCAAAAAATTAAAAATGGAACTGCCATTTGACCCAGTGATCCCACTTCTAGGAATATATAAGAAAGCTGAAACATTCATCAGAAATAATATAGCACCCCTCTGTTCTGTTCATAGCAGCACAATTTACAATAGTTAAGATTTGGAAACAGCCTAAGTGCCCATCTGAAGTGTATAAAAAGATCATGGTACATTTACACAATAGAATACTACATGGCAATAAAAAATAAAGAACTCTTACCATTTGCAACAGCATGAATGTACCTGGAGAATATTATGCTGAGGGAAATAAGCCAGTCAGAGAAAGGTAAATGTCACATGATCTCACTTATATATGGAATCTATTGAACCAAATAAACTGATGATCAAAAATAGACCTAGAGACGTAGAAGCATGAACAGACTGTTGAACCTCAGAGGGTAGGTAGGAGAGGGTGGGTGGGAAGAGATCAACCAATTAACTTGTATGCATATATGCATAACCCATGGACACAGGCAATGGGGTGGTGAGGGCCTGGGGTTGAAGGGGGGGATAGGAGTGGGCTGGAAGAGGTTAATGGGGCAAAAAGGAGGACCTATGTAACCCTTTCAATAATAAAGATTAAAAAAACACAAAGTATAAATAAATAAATAAATAAACAGATAAATAAATAAAATAAAAAGTACAAGGAAGACAGTATTATTATTATAGCCAGGTTACGTCACAAAAAAATTGAAAACTACAGAACTTGTTTTTTGTCTTTTTTGCAACCAAGAACTTCCCAGGTGCATTAAATTAATAATGTATCTGGAACATAGTTCTCAGTGTACTGTTTTAACTCTCTATATCCACCATTTTATAAACCTTGTTTTTGTGAGAAAAACCCATTTTAAGTTAAGCACGTAGGTTAGAGACACTTCTTCACAGTGGTTATATGGACGGGGAGCAGCTAGATGTTAATTCATAGCAATTTGCTAACTCACCTTATCTACATAAATGAAAGAGTCTATCCATGTATATGATACCCAAGTATTCTGAATGAGGGAACACTGGTAGTTATACCCAAGGAAGTCAGATGCTACCAAATAAACAATATATACACAAATCATTGATGGACATACATAAAATTATATTTTCCCCTTTACAAACAAATCAAGACACTATGGTAGGAGGTATGCAAAGTGTCTTACAAATAAATATTTCATGTGAATAATTTCGCTTTTGTCTTCAAAAACCAAATGCAATTCACTCTACCAGTTGTTTGGAGAGGCAGAACTGAGATTTATGTATTATCATGTGACCAGTTCTGGATTTAATGGGGGGAAAAGTGTGGAATGGGCCAACGATCCAAACTGGTGATTTCCCTGACCTTCCTGCTCCTCTTCTCTCTCCAGCCAGCAGTGCTGCCAGTTCAGTCCCACATCCCACTAGACAGCCTCTGGCCAGGAAAGGAGGCTAGCACAGAAAATTCCTTCCCAAAACCAACACATCTGGCAGTTTGAAATATCTGCTAGGTAAGTAAGCAAGGTATTTTTCCTATTTTTGACTCTGCAACAGCCTTTTTAAACTGTTTAAATGAGAATGTCCTTGGCTCAGAGAGTACTACCCACCTGGCTTTTTACACTACTCTACTTAATCATTTTGGTGTTGAAATGGGATGAGAAGGCACCTTGGAACGGGTTCCTCATATTTATTCCAGTTTGGATATTTGATACTATTCTGCTTGTATTAATTGTGGAAATGGCTGGGCTATATAAGTCTGGTTTTGACCTCAACATATTAAAACAAACAACACCTGGTACCTCATTGCAATTTTACTTAATTTAGCTGTCTGCCTTGCACACTGTGCTAAACTGGAACAGTTTGCTTCTATAAATCTGTCCTATGTCTTTATTCCTCTGTGGACCTTACTGAGTGGGGCTTCAACAGAGCTTGGCTATAGGTTCTTTTCTGTGAGATACTGACCTCTAAGGACATCATCTTATTTTATTGCTGTTCAACAAGCTGTCATTGAAGCGCTCTGAATCTTTGCAAGCTCAAAAAAACAGAAAAACAGGGAAAAATAACAAATGCAGTTTTATACTGCTCCCATAAAATAGTCCTGGTGAGTCATGGACTCCCAGGAAATCCAAACTTAATTAGTCAATATTTGAGTTATTAATATCTTTATAATCCCTAAATAAAGTTTATTTTGGATTTTATAACCAAACAAGAACAAATGCAACTCACTGTAAATACATCCTATCTAATAATAGACAAACATGGTAATTGACCATACCTTCGCTATGCCTCCCATTGGCTAATCAGTATGATATGCAAATTAACCCAACCAAGATGGTGGCCGGCAGCCACTCAGCTGAAGCGAGCAGGAGGCTTGCTTGTTTCAGTGATGGAAGAAGCCAAGGTTCCCTGCCTGCCGCGGCCCGGCTCTGAGCTCCGAAAGCAGCAAAGTTTCAATTATAGGAGCTAAACAAACCCCAGATACCTGCTTTCAGCAGGCCGTGGCCTCAGAGCTGGAGCGAGCAGGAGCAGGCTCTCAGCTCCAGTGATGGCAACAAAGTTTCAATTATAGAAGGTAAATAAATCCCAGAATAAAAAGAAAAAAAAAAAGAAAAAAAAGGAGAGGCTGGGAGCTTCAGTCGCCGGCCAGCCTGAAAATGGCCCTCAGCCCCTCACCCAGGCTGGCCAGGCACCCAAGCAGGACCCCCACCCTGACCCTGGACACCCTTCAGGGCAAACCAGCCAGCCCCCACCCATGCACCAGGCCTCTATCCCATATAGTAAAAGGGTAATATGCAGACTGACCCTAATAGCAGAAAGACTGGGAATGACTGGTCACTATGACACACACTGACCACCAGGGGGCAGATGCTCAATGCAGGAGCTGCCCTCTGGTAGTCAGTGCGCTCCCACAGGGGGAGCTCTGCTCAGCCACAAGCCAGGCTGATGGCTGCCAGTACAGCGGTGGTGGTGGGAGCCTCTCCTGCCTCCTCAGCAGCACTAAGGATGTCTGGCTGCAGCTTAGATCTGCTCCCCGCTGGCAAGTGGACATTTCCTGAGGGCTGCCAGGCTGCCAGGGGGGTGTCTGATTGCCAGCTTAGGCCCAATCCCCCGGGGAGCAGGCCTAAGCCAGCAGGTAGTCATCCCCCGAGGGGTCCCAGGCTGCGAGAGGGCACAGGCCGGGCTGAAAGACCCCTCCCCCCCCACGAGTGCAAAAATTTTTGTGCACCGGGCCTCTAGTACATGCATATTTATACTAATAATGGAGGAATATGCAAATTGTCCAGGATTCCATCACAGTAACAGTAATGACCAAACAGCAGGCTGCGTGGGGCAACCAGGCCAGCAGGAGGGTTAGTGAGGGACAACCAAATGACTGAACAGCAGGCTGCATGGGGTAACCAGGCCGGCAGGGGAGTTAGTGAGGGATGACCAAGTGACTGAACAGCAGGCTGCGTGGGGAGACCAGACCAGCAGGGGGGGAAGTTTGGGGCGACCAGGCCAGCAGGGGGGCAGTTGGGGGCAACCAAGCCAGCAGGGGGACAGTGTGAGGCAACCAGGCCAGCAGAGGGGCAGTTGGGTATGACCAGGCCAGCACAGGGGGCAGTGCGTGGTGACCAGGCTGGCGGGGGGGGGCAGTGCGTGGTGACCAGGCCAGCAGGGGGGGCAGTGTGGGGTGACCAGGCCAGCGGGGGGAGGGGCAGTTGGGGGCAACCAGGTCAGTAGGGGGGGCAGTTAGGGGCGATCAGGCCAGCAGGCAGAGGAAGTTAGGGGTGATCCAGCTGGCAGGGAGGGCAGTTAGGGGCAATCAGGCAGGCAGGCAGGTGAGCAGTTAGGAGCCAGTGGTCCTGGATTGTGAGAGGGATGTCCAACTGCCGGTTTAGGCCTGATCCCCAGGATCGGGCCTAAACCCGCAGTTGGACATCTCCCGAGAGGTCCCGGATTGGAGAGGGTGCAGGCTGGGCAGAAGGAATGCCGCCCCCCCCCCCGCCCCCGCACAAATTTTGTGCACTGGGCCTCTAGTTAACAATAAAATAAGAAAAGTTAAAGAAAAACAGATGGAAAGGAAACAATTAATGCAAGTTTTGAACATCACTGTATTTTTTTTTCACAAGTTCTGCATTTTCATATTTTGCTATTTTGGAGTGCAGAAACTTGCCCCAACTATACCAGAATAGACCAAAAGAAGAAATAATGTTTGCTTTGTTGAACTGAATGAATTAAAGTTGGTCTGTCTCCATAAAAATCTAACCCTTATAAACTCCTCTTTTTGTAGGTCAGTCATCCTGGAGAGCTTACACTTGGAGTCTAGACACTGAATTGAAACACCTTCTTCACCAAATTCTTTACATATTATTTTTTGTATGTCTCATCTTAGAAGAGATAAACATTTTTTAGAAACATATTTTCACTTATAAACTAAGCATTTTAAAGAAGCATGTTTATACATATTTTGTGTATAAATATATTTAAAATCTAAATTCACATATTATGTGTCTTCTGGATTTTGGTGTTTATGCACTAATAGTGCCTTTCAAAAGCTAAAATATATATTATTTTAAATCAATTTTAGACCAACTAATATAGTTCAAATTTCTTCAACTTGTCTGATAGATATCTACTCAATGCTACCACAGTTAATCCAATCTCTTACCATAAAGCAACATTCCAAGGGTGACAGAAAGGATGCCCTAAGTTTAACCCAGCACTGTCTATGGGGGTTGGGGAAGTGTTGTGATAGTAGAAGGCAGGGAAACCAGAGGAGTGTTAGGGAGACTGAGCTCACTCACCCTTTGGAAGGCACAACCTGCCAGATAGCTGCTTCTCAGCCCACTTTGCAGTAGGGCCTGGACTTGGGACTAGGATGCTCCCAATAGGCCTACCCATCACCCCCAGTTAGAATTAGGAGCCAGTAAGACCAAGACACCACAGAGAGGGAACCCCAGCCTGAGGGCAGAGATGAAGCAGGGCTGGTGGCAGTGTCCCATGCCTGCTCTGCGGGCTCAGGAGTGGCTGCAGGGTGGCCTTTCCGGACAAGCTCTCAGCATGATTTAGAACTGGCTTTTCGCTGCGTAATCTCTGAGCCAGGTGCTCCAATCTTCCTTTTTGACTGTGAACTACCCAATAGCCTTTCAATATGTTTATTTTCTTCTGAAATTGTCCAGGGTTCAATTCTGCTGCTTATAGCTAAGAACCCTGAAGCAGGATAGGGAAATGGGCAAGAATACAGGAGCACCTTGCCTTGAAGGTAGAGGGAGAGGAGAGACACCAGAGGAAAGGAGGAAATCCAAACCCCAAAATGCATCTTAATACCTGCTTCTGATAACAATCCCATCCCTTCTTTTAATTCTTATACTGTGCCTCTCAAGGTCTTTATCAACTCATCCATTTAACGTATTTTTGAAGAGCTTACTGTGTGCCAGGTACTATTCCAGTTCCTGGGTGACAGCAGTGAACAAAATGAAGCAATAGTTTCCACAATAACACAGGTTAGAATGATGAAGGCAAGTGCGACAGCACGTCTGCATGCTGGACAGTGACCTGGGCCTGGCATGCCTCACACCATGGACTGCAGGAACTCAGTGGCTGCAGTAGCATCCACAGCGAGCGGCAGGACTGGCTCCTATGTTAGTAGAACTTGGAGATATTTGCCATAGGAAATAGTTCTTACGGTTTCTATACGAGTTTTTTCCAAAGAAAGAAAAAATGATGCAATATTTTTTCCCACTATTCTCATGCCACACCACCTTCATTTACTTTTTCAAATGTGTCTATGTTACCATTAAAGCAGAAGGTGTGATATGCTGGAAAATATATTGACTTTTAAAATGTATTTGGAGTACATCACCTCTTAATTTATATAATGTGTTTCCCTCTTTTCATACAAGCAAAACTTTATAATCCACACAAAAATATAAACACAATAAAAACAATTATTGTGTTATTTCATATCTACTTGCACCTTTCATATCTACTTGCACATTTTCAAAAAGAAAATTGCTTACTTGCCAAGTTTTTAAACTTTGCAAAAGTGTTTGGTTCACATCTTGATGTTTCTAAATAGTACCAAAATAAATTAAGATACTCTAGCTTTTCTAGATTCTCAGAAGGTAGAACTAATTGTATGAAGTAACATAAGAAGGGCACTACTTGCCCTGGCTGGTGTGGCTTCATTGTAGGAGCGTACATCAAAAGGTAGTGGGTTCAAGTCCTGGTCATGGCACATGCAGAAGGCAACTGATCAGTTTCTCTCTCTCTCTCTCTCTCTCTCTCTCTCTCTCTCTCTCTCTATATTTCTATATATCTATCTCTCAATTAAAAATTTTTTAAAAGAAGGATACTATTTAAGTTGTATACATCTGGGAGAAACCAAGATGGTGGCATAGGTAAACACCGGAGTTTGCTGCCTCGAACAACCACTTCAAAAATACAACTAAAAGACAGAACGGACATCATTCAGAACCACAGGAAGGCTGGCTGAATGGAAGTTCTACAACTAGGAGGGAAGAGAAAAACATACCAAGACTCAGAGGAGGTGCAGTGCTGAAGTAAAATACTAAGGTGCGGAGTGCATGCGGAGCGGGCTGGCAGATGAGGGCGCGGTTGTTGTTTTCAATCGGGAGGGAGTCTCAGGCTCTGAGCTCCAGTTCCGGGCGAGTCTCTGGGGACCCAGACTCATACGGGAGAGGCGGGACTGTCTGGCATCGCTCAGAACCCTAGGGCAGCTTTCTCTCCATGGGGCTTGCAGCAATTACTGGGACACTGAGAAGCAGAGCCTCTGAGGGCAAGACTGAGAGCAGCCATAATTGCTAACCCAGCCCTGTTGATCCTGTGGGACCTGCCCCACCCAAGCCCTGGAGGGAGACTTTTGCTGGATAGCCTCAGGCAAAGGTTAGATTAGCACCTCCCTAGAGATCCAGGATCCAGGAAGCCCAGAGGTCAGAGTGGGACCATCCAGTTTGCAGCTCCGTGGAACCATAAAAGACACACTCACGGGGCAGACTCAGTGAGCACCAAAGCCCCATCGAAGCAAGTCTAACCCCAGAGGGGTGTCTCCAGCACAGAAGTTCTCCCACTGCAGACACAGCTGATTCTCACAGCCAATTGGCCTGGAGGTCAATTCCTCACAGTGATAACTACAACAATCAAGGCTTAACTACAACAAGACTGTGCACAAAGCCCACAAGGGGGTGCACCAAGAGTGTCTACCTCAGGTAATTGGCACACTTAGCACAGAAAGGCACTCTAATGACACAGTGAAGCATAAAAAATGCCGAGACAAAGAAATAGGACACAAACAACAGAATTGGAGGAAAGCAAACTGTTGGATATAGAGTTCAAAACCACACTTTTAAGGTCTTTAAAGAACTGTCTAGAAGCCACCGATAAATTTAATAAGATCCTCGAAAAGACTGGTGAGACCACCGATAAATGTAGTGAGATCCTCAAGAAATCTAATGAGACCCTCGATGTTGTGATAAAGAACCAACTAGAAATTAAGCATACACTGACTAAAATAAAGAATATTAAACAGACTCCCAACAGCAGACCAGAGGGTCGCAAGAATCAAGTCAAAGATTTGAAATATGAAGAAGCAAAAAACACCCAACCGGAAAAGCAAAATGAAAAAAGAATCCAAAAATATGAAGATAGTGTAAGGAGCCTCTGGGACAGCTTCAAGCGTACCAACATCCGAATTATAGGAGTGCCAGAAGATGAGAGAGAGCAAGATATTGAAAACCTATTTGAAGAAATAATGACAGAAAACTTCCCCTACCTGGTGAAAGAAATAGACTTCCATGTCCAGGAAGCGCAGAGAACCCCAAACAAAAGGAATCCGAAGAGGACCACACCAAGACACATCCTAATTAAAATGCCAAGAGCAAAAGGCAAAGAGAGAATCCTAAAAGCAGCAAGAGAAAGAAAATCAGTTACCTACAAGGGAGTACCCATACGACTGTCAGCTGATTTCTCAACAGAAACTTTGCAGGCCAGAAGGGAGTGGGAAGAAATATTCAAAGTGATGAATGCCAAGAACCTACAACTAAGACTACTTTATCCAGCAAAGCTATCATTCAGAAGTGAAGGCCAGATAAAGAGCTTCACAGATAAGAAAAAGCTAAAGGAGTTCATCACCACCAAACCAGTATTATATGAAATCCTGAAAGGTATCCTTTAAGAAGAGGAAGAAGAAGAAAAAGGTAAAGATACAAATTATGAACAACAAATGCACATCTATCAACAAGTGAATCTAAAAATCAAGTGAATAAATAATCTGATGAACAGTATGAACTGGTGATTGTAATAGAATCAGGGACATAGAAAGGGAATCGACTGACTATTCTTGCGGGGTGGGGGGAAAGGGGTGTGGGGGTGAGGGAAGAGATTGGACAATAATCCTGCACCTATGGATGAGGACAGTGGGTGGGGAGTGAGGACGGAGGGGGGGGTGGGAACTGGGTGGAGGGGAGTTATGGTGGGAAAAAAGAGTAACTAATGTAATAATCTGAACAATAAAGATTTAATTGAAAAAAGAAAAAAAGAAAAAAAACTTGTATACATCTAATTATGCAATAAAGCAATAACATGATTTGAAATGCAGCCTTTGATTTCCTAAGACAGTTCAAACAGCATAGAGCTGTATGAATGCATTCTTTGAAGCATGGAATATATTCATGAAGTATTTTTGTTGTGAGCCATTCTGAATTGTTATCATACATACTCCAGAAGTAGTATGGATTTTTGAAATAGGCTTCTTTTATCATCTGATCTAAACAGGAACTAAGGTAGGATAGAAACCAATATTTATGAGTTCTGCAGGTAATTCTCTTCCTTCAGATTCAAGGTAATATTTTCTTCTTCAAACCCGATGATAAGAAATTCTATAAATGTGATTCTACTGGAGAAGGTGAAGATTAAGATCAGTAAGATTTTCATGGGATGTGAGAGTTTTTAATTAAAGCCTGTGTATTGGCCAGTACTGTGAGTTACATCCTGCCTCTCTTGAATTAACCCTTCAGCTCTGTACTCTATTTTTTCATTAGCAGCTTAAACTCCAGGGAAGGTTAGAGTTCAGCAAAAAGGCAGCTTGCATCACTGTGTTAGATAAAGCTTTTTTGGCAGAATAAAACATTTTTATAAGTAAAACTATTAAGATAGATTGCCTCTCTGGAGGGAAACTGCGGGCCAGAGGTAGAAGGTAGACTTTTTACTGTATATCCTTTTGTTGTTGTTTTTTAATTGAGCACCATGTGAATGTGCTACCTAGTCAAAAACAAATACAAATTAAAATGTTTTAAATAAGAAAAATCAAGCTATGCTTAGTTAAATAATGGTATCCTATTTATATTCTTAACACATTTTATCTAAATCTCTGAATAGCTATAGTTCAATCAAATTCATCCAGCTAGCTCAAATTTTAATAATGAACTTGTACCAGTAAAAAAATATATTTTAAAAATGAACTTATACCACTATCTCCAACTAAGCAAACAGCTAAAACATCTTGAACATCATTATTGCATTGGAAAATTCCAGGAAATTTTAGAGAGTTGTCCTACACAGTACCAAAACCACAGCATATAACTAATTTAAAGACATAAAGAAAAGGCATTTAAGAAATGATATAGGGGGAGGAGGGAGGTTCCAAGATGGTGGTAGATCTCTCCTGCACCTCCTCCCAGAACTAAACTGGAAATAAAAATAAATTGGGAAACACTTACCCTGAATTACCAACTGAAGACTAGCTAAAAAGGAGACCTTTAACAAGGAAGGGCAAGAAACTACCTTGAGACTGGTAGGAAGGGCAAGGTCGAGAGAGGGGCTGGCCCAGCTCCCACAGGTGGCAGGTGGAGGGTGAGGACAGATACCTCAGTTGCAACGGGGTTTTCCCTGAGGAGTGAGGCCCAGGACCCAGGCTAGAGATAGCCTGGAACAGCAGAGCTGGGAACAGTGGCCTACGTCACATCCAGCCATGAAAGGTCGTGGGGCTTCTATCTCCAGGGAGAGAAGAAGCCTGTCAGAGATAAAAACCTTTTTCTTTTTTTTTTTTTAATGAGCACAGGATCTTCTTTTGCGGCCACTCCAATGAGGCTTTGGTAGAGGCAGGGCAGTGCAGACCAGAGTCTTCTGAAGAGAGTCCAGGGTGGGAAGCATTGAAAGGAGGCATGAAATAACGTGGCCAGAAGACTTGGGCCTGGTTGTCCCCGCTCATACAACAGCAGCCATTTTTCCTGAGAGGCACTGGCCCCTCCCAGCAGCCACAGTGTACCACCCTTGTGGATATAGCTCACCCCACCCTCAGGAATCCCACTCACTCCTCTCAGTATCTCTGCTCCTACTGAATAGGCAGCAGCAGAGGCCAAGTACAGTATATGGGTCCGGACAGTCTCAGGGGATGTCAGTGACTGACTTTGGGGTAGGGTCATTCCCTCCACTGTCCTAGGAGCCTGACAGGTGCTTCCCCTTCCCAGGAGAGCTTGCAGAAACTCCCACCTTCCAACAGACCTCACTGGACTGCATAAGAGGGGCTCTGCCCTCCTGAAGTAAGGGAAATATTCTGGGACAGACTCAGATGTGTGGCTCTGGGACGGGGAACACACCCACTGTGGTTCCTGAAATCTGAATGGCACCTCCCCGTCATGGGAGACCCAGAGGTCTCATCCTCCAGATTCCGCTAAAAGCCCTTTCAGTGACTAAGTTTGACAGCTGGCCTGAAGTCAGGGGCAGATGGAGATGAATTCCTAGGTACCTTGGGATGTTTGCTCACCTGCCTCTTGGTACCATGCAGCTAACAAGCCAGCACTAGAATGCAGTTTGGCCTCTCCGGTATACAGCCAAGCCCTGTGGAGGCGACCACAAACTAGATCGCTTGAAGCATTGAACAGATTGCGGAGAGTCAAGCATGGACAGTGGCTAGCACCAAAGTACCTTTGAAAGGCCCAAAAGGGCATACAAAACAGTAAGCCTCAGTCAACATAAGAGCAGGATCCAAAGGGAGCTCCCAGCAGGCACTAAAGTCTACCAAGATGAACCCCACTTCTCTTTTTTTGCATTATCTTATTTGTTTTTTCCTTTTTACTGCTTTCTTATTACTTTTGTCTCTCTTTTTTTTCTCTTTCCTTTTCTTACTCAATTTTATCTCTTTTTACTTTTTCTTAATATTTTTCTTTTTAAAAATGTTTATGATCATTATATCTTCTTGGTCTATTTTTTTTTTTTTGGTATTTTTATTGATTTCAGAGATGAAGAGAGAGGAAGAGAAAGACGGAAACATCAACAAGAGAAAGAATCACTGATTGGCTGCCTCCTGCATGCCTCTCACTGGGGATCAAGCCCACAACCCAAGCATGTGCCCTGACCAGGAATTGAATCATGACCTCCTGGTTCATAGGTTGATGCTCAACAACTGAGCCACACCAGCCAGGCAATTTCTTTCTTTCTT